CAGAGAGCGCTGACCCCGCGCCGCGCCCCCGTAGCGGGGGCCGCCGAGGGAGCGGGAGCGCGTCCCCTCCGGAGACCTCCCCCGCCCGGGCCCCGCGGGGATCCGGGCCACTCACCGCGCTGAGGCGGATGCCGCCCTGTGTTTTCGCCGCCATCTTTTGTGCCGCAGCGAGAGCCGGGGTGTGGAGCGCCCTCGCTTCCGCCTCGCCCACTCCCGGGGAGAGGCGGGCCTTGGGGGCCGGGCCACGCCCCCTCGCGGCGGGGGGCAGGCGGTGACGGGAAGGCGGTGGCCGCGCGCCGAGGGCAGGCCCCGGGGACGGGAGTTGCAGAAGATGGAGGGCGGTGGGGCTGCCCGGCCTAAATGGCCAACGCTGCTGTTCGTTAAGCGGGCACTCGAGAGACATTCGGCGCTTTGGTAGTACTAGCTGCTGTGCCACAGTATTTCCCAGCGTCCATGCAGCGGGCATCAATGTTTTCAACATAGGCAGCGTAATCAGACGTTAGCAGCTTCTGGGGTGCGAGGTGCGTCACGCAGCGTTACAAAAGACGTGCAGAGAAAGGACGAAATCTGAAAAGCAGCTTTCACAAAGTCATCGAAACCATACTCCGCTGGCCTTAGGTGTTCAAGCTCGGTTGTATTTCCAAATGAAAAGGCAGTACTTTCAGGGCATTTGCCCTGAACATAGAAAAACGTACAGACCGAAGTTTGGAAAGCTCTGGCGCCCAGAGAAAGCCTTATGCCACGGCAGTCCCTAATTTTGGAGGGAGAGGCGCTCCCCCCATGCGGGGGTCAGTGCCTGTCCGGCAGCCAACGATGGCCTGATGCTGCAGCGGCAGCAGCTTCCTCCGTCTGCTCCGCGCAGTTCTTCCAGACGCGCAAATCCAGAAAACTTATCCCAGGACCACAGGACTGGGATCCCAGGGTGGAAAGTTCAGGAATGCAAAAGATAGGGACGTAAGAGCTGGAGCAGTAGGGGCGTGTGATGGGAGGATTAGGGAGGCGGTGGGGCAGCCTTTCCCTAGGCAAGCGTAGGGGCTAGCACAGACTAGCACTGAGCCACTGCTGCTAGGGTCCAAACAGGTCTACAGAGTTCTGTACGCAGCCCTCACCCACTGAAATTGAATTTGAGAGCTTTTACAGAACCTGATAAAAATTGAAGTTGGTGAGTGAGCAGTAAAGGTAGTCTGAAAAGTAAGAACTGCGTTTCAAAGGGTATTTCAAAATAACATTTAATAGTATTAGAAGAATTGCATTCAAATATAGTATCAAATACACTTAACCATTACTTAATGCTCTATTTCAAATTCTGCTGTTCTGTGGCAGTTACCTTGGTTGCACCTACTATTTTTTTCCTTCAGGAAAATGAAATCCTTTTGAATATTTAAATACATCTCCCTCTGTGTATCATGCATTGCGGCTGTGCTATCTCAAAGCTGAAAGTATCCAAGAGAGAAAGCTAAGCTTGGTTATTCTGAAAACAAGCAAAGAACTACACAGCAAAGCAAAAGCATTTTCTCTCCTGTTCTTGATACCGAGTTCTAGGCAAAGGTTTTCAGATTCATCTACTGTTAAGTTATTCTGCTTTGACAGTACCAGTGTTAGAGCAGTACAATCCTCCTTCCTGCGGATTTAACAGCAGTGGCATAAGAAGTAGAATGACTACAGTCAGTCCCATATAGAAAAGGAATAAAGTTACACTGCTAGAGATACTTTTAGGCCTATGTAACTGTTACCCTCCACCATCCAAGTTTGATTTTTTTTTTTTAGTTAGAGCCCTTTCCTCCTTATTCACATGCTATTTATAATTATACCAGATCTGCTTATATACTAAATCTTAAAGAACTTTTTCTTCTTAAGAATGAGATTCTGCTGCAGTGAAAGGATTCTGCAAGTCACAAATATCTGAGGCCATTTAAAGCAGCCATCTGAAGAACCACAGAACAAAGGTAAACGTACGTATGAAGGCAGAGGTTAGAAGCAAGTGGTGTTTTTGTGGAAGGTAAGATCATCTTAGAAGTCAGACAGTTATACAGACCTAAGTCACAGATTCTGTTTTTACAGTTCAACACCACAGCTGAGGAGGATGTGACTGACGTCCGATCCCCCAAACATCTGAAGTACAGGCAGCCAGAATGGGACATTCCCTTTCAAGGGGAAGGATGACAAAACCCTCAATCTAAGTAACTGGTTCACCACCTCCAGTTAGCGAGGAAACTATGTGAAGACACAGCTTTATAGCTTATGGGAGAATGTAAAACAAATGGTTTTATGGCAAAAAGTTGTCTTAGATTTTAATAGCCCATTTAACAGCACCACATCAGCATTTTAAGGGAAATACCCAAGTACGGAATGCAACCACCAGAAAGCTGAAAGTAAAACTACCAAATCATCCTGAGTATTAGCAATATTCTCTCTGAAAATTATTGAAGATATGTAAGTAATGAACACAAACTTTTTAAAATATTCTGCTTCAATTTTCAAATAATGAAAAGTAATCCTTTTAAATGGGTAACTTTTCACTTGTGCTCATTCCAATAGCATTAGAGATCATTAATAAATTATATTGATACAATAATTCACATTCTTAGTGACTACACGATATTACACTTCAGTCTATCACTTAACTGTAAAAATGCAAAGAAGCTATTTAAGTTTAGCATAAGCCTATTATAGTAGTATCTTCATAGACCATTACAGTATTATCATAGTAAAGCATGTTGTTCAGTGTTTCATTATTTTAGTTTATAATCCAAAGATGAAATCTTCATATATCTGTAGGTAAAAAGCACTGCAGAGTAGCCTTCCATGTTTGTTGTGCGAGTTTTGAAAAAGTAAATCGCTGACCTCACAACCTGGTGACATTAAACCACACATTTTGTATGTCCTTTTTTAATTAGCAAAAACAAGAGTGATGAATTCCAGTACCCAGCATGTTTACCTCAGTTGTGATGTTCCAAATAACTCAAATAGCATGTACCAGTCTACAGGTATATCTTACAAAACCAATTTCTCTGGAGGCAAAGGTGTTTAAAAAAAAAAAAAAAAAAAAAGAGCAGACAAAGCTTTTCACCATGAAAAATATAATAAACTTCCCCTCCCAGACAAACGAGCATTGCAAAATCAGTCAGATAATCCACTAAGTATGAAAATTCAATGGAGTCCATCTCCTCATTTAAAAAACTAAGCCTTTTGTTGTATGTGTTGCTACGATGGTGCTTATCTGCTGGCCGTCAGAAGTGTCCTTCAGACATGCAGCTGTGCTGTTTTTTGGTAGAACTAATCCCTGTCTCCCACGTCCTGGGTGGTGGTAGCAGTGCAGTTCCAAAATAAGCTGTACCTTGAACATTACTGTAGTCATGGCACTGTGATGATCCCCCTACCTCTTTTAACACCTAGGAACAGCCAAATACATTCTTTTGTATATAAAGTGTTCTTTAAAAAAAAAGAATCTTATTTTCATTTTAATTAGGCTGTTGGTATACAGCAATTTATATTTTTACAGAATTATCTTCATTTAGTTGCATTTCAGAAGCTGCAAAGTGACCTTAGTCACTGAAAGAACAAAATTTTTTAATTTAAAAAACTGAATTAGAAAATTTTTAGTCAATTAACTAAAACAAAAACCCCTCAAGTAATGTAAATTACAAAATGTTACTGCATAGATTTGTCTTTTATGCATGTTTGTCTTTTATTTAGGAATCACTAATCCTGGAGAATGCTATTATAGTACAGAGTTGAAATTACAAACATGGTAAGTCTGCAATTATTTGCACAATGCTAAGACTTATAAAATACATCTGTTTGAAATTTAAATGATTTGTTTAGAAGTTTTCGGACAAGTTAAAGGAGAAGTAGAAGTGGGCTTTAACCTCAGGAAATGGCTTATCTGCAAACTGATTGTACACTGACATGCAATATTAGCTTTTTCTTAAATTTACTTTCAGAACGCAGTCCCAAAGGCAGCTTAAAATACTTACTTGAGAAGTTACTGGATAAACGGTACAGTTGCTACTTTCACCAAGTCAAAAATAATCTTCCTTTATTTACAAAATCTCTTTAATCCTTCACATTGAAAACAAATAAAAGAATACAGTTACTATGATAAATTACCACTAAACTGTACTTTTTTCCCCCCCAGGAACTGAAGAATCCTGCTTTTTAACACCAACTCGGAAGCCTGGATTGTTGAAGTGCACTCCACAACAGGAAGAAAACCCAAAATGTAGTTTCAAAACTTGGGAAAAAAGAAGAGAAGAATTGCAGTAAAGTTTTCCCTTTTTTCACTATTTATTCACCACGAGCCAAGTGTCCCATGTGTGGCTTAACTTTCCATATTTTCGAGGAAGTCACATTCAACACTCTCTTCAAGCTGTTGCAAGATCTTTATGCCATTACTGCCAATGTAGTCCATAGAGAGAGATGTAGAAGCATGTGAAGTCTGGGACTCACTCCCGTTTGTTGTAAATGCACAACACAGAGTCTTGAAGAAGGGCATAAGCTGCGTGATGCTAGATACAGAGCGGAAGTTCAAAAGAGGAAATTTGTGCTTCTTGGAAAGTCCCTCAGTGTTGTTTGTTTCCTGTAAGCAGACAAACCGAGATTTACCAAAGGTTTTGCATTAAGACACAATGTTGTTAGGGCTTGTCTGAACCCTATACTATACACTTTTTTCATACTAAGAGATCCACAGCCTACAACTGTATCACAATATAAATTGTATAGATGGTATACCGAGTTATGTCTATATTTGGATTCGAGGTTCCATTAAATGGATGTGTCACAAGTTCAGAAGACTGCAAATTTGGACTAGCCTTCAGAATCAGGTATCAAACAACAACAGAATACAGAGATATCTCTGAGAAATACTAATGCCCCTATTTTCTTTCCTGGAAGAATTAATATTAAACCTTAATGGTAATTAAAAATGCTGTTATGGTAAACTTTCTTGACAAAGTACAGCATGTTCTTTTTTATAAATACCGGTCTTGTCTGAGACAAATTGTCTTCACTGGGTGGTTGTGGGAAGATTTAAGGGAACAGCCAGAAAACTGTTTATCATTCCCTCACACTCAACAGCAATCTGACCTCTTCAGGATATATATGTGAAAGCAGGCAGATCATTTTTAAAAGCCTCATGAATTTTATTAGAATATCTAAAAACCTCTTGCCTACCTTAAAACCTTGTCACTTGTTTAGAAAAGCAAGTTAATGGATTAAAAAAAAAAAAAAAGATTCAAGTGAAGCATTCTTTCTTTACCCCATATTTCATCTTCAGCAGATCCATGATTCTTACAATGTGTGGTCTGCATTCCTGATGATGTTCTACCAGATGAGAAGTCACTGTAGATGACTCTGTGTCCACCTCTGGGACAAATGCCCATTTGTACCTGAAACAAATGGATTATTTGATAAGAAGTCAGGCAGAAGAAAATCCTTATTTGGGTCATACATAGTTTAGTAGAACACTGATTTGTTTACAGAAAGAGCTGTCATAACTATAATTTTATGCTATTACCAGAGCCAAACTTAATGAACAAGGATGTTACTATCATGTCAGTATTTAAACACAACTGGCCTCAAAAAAATCCCAAGTGTATGCAAAGGGAAAACAAAGAACAGTCTCTGTCTTCCTCTTCTCCCA